AATCTTTCAATAATGTTTGAGACTCTAATTCCTCCGTTTTTTCTCCATGCAGTTAACGCTATCTGGCATATTGAACTTAATTGATAGACTGTGCTGTGGGGGCGAGAGAATCATTGTGTTCACGACCAACCACAAGGACAGGCTTGATCCGGAACTGCTGCGTCCAGGCAGGATGGACGTGCACCTCAACATGTCCTATTGCAAGGTTCATGCATTCAAGATCTTGGCTTCTAATTACCTGGACATCAGCAACCATCCCCTGTTTGGAGAAATCGAGAGCTTGATAGAGAGCACGGGGGTGACCCCAGCAGAGGTGGCAGGGCAACTGATGACGAGTGAAGATGCTGACCGCGCTCTTCAAGAACTTGTTAAATTCATTAAACAGAAGAGTGAATGTGATAAAACTGAGGAGAAAGTTGCTGAGATTGAAGAAGCAAACAGTTTGAAAAGTGATAATGGGGAAAACGAAATTACGGGGTGGGAGGGGTCAGGATCGCAACACGAAGTCGGTGAGGAAAGGGAGGGACAAAGGATTGACTGAGTAGAAGTGCCAAAAAGTTTTTTCACTGAATATATACGGTGTAGACTTTAGTTGCAGAGTCCCTCCTTGAGTTGATGTTCTTGTTAACGTATGAGATCACGTTTGTTAACTAGTGATGTTAGTTCTTGTGTGGTGGCAGTTGCAGTTTGTTTATTTTGCTTAGTAGTGTAGCAGTTTATATTGACAGTTCGTAACTTCTTTGTTTTTAGCAACGGTCGAGAGTTTCAGGTTTTTTCCTAGAAACAGTATGTATGTTTGGTGCTGTGATTTTAATACAGTTTATGTATTTCATTTCTCAAGTTTAATCCTTGAGTTTATGTTCATTTAGTGTTCATTTTCGCTTAAGGTTTCATCTTTACATTATCAGTTCTGAAAATTGGGAAGAAGGCAAATTGATATAGTGTAAATAAGACCAGCAAGGTTAAGTCTAATATACATATCCCTTCTCATAAGAGTTGAATGTTTTTTCGTTTCTTAATTGTCTTGAGCAAAGTAGAAAGCAATAACTATGTTAATAAAAAATACTACTAAATGATGTTTCAAAATGGAGATTAATAAGTGGTAGTGATGAAAAACAAAATATGAAACATGAGTTTTTGCAAAAATGAATTTCTTGAGACAACAAACTGGAAATTGGTTGTGAAAATTCATACAGTTGCAAGAACCACTGACAATTTTGATGGAAAACTGCTGATCAAAAAAAAAAAAATGATGGAAAACTGCAGTTGTTTCCCTGCTCAGTCAATGTCCGATTCATGATTCGCAGAAGATCTTACTGTCCTGCGTGTATTCTCAAGATAATCGTCATCTTCCTCATCTTTCTTCTCACTAATTACACCTTTCTTCAGCAGTAGCACCTCTAGTGTCTTAGTGGTGAAATCATGTTTTCCTCCAATATCTTGGAAGCCAACCACCCTATCAAATGCAATTCCCTTTCTATAGGGTAACATTCTGTTGAGGTTTTAATGGTCCAATGCCTAGAATCAAACCAATCAACAACACAATCAAACACCCAAGAACAGAATAAGCAAACAAAGTAAAATAAAGAGGACACCAGAATTTTTACGTGGAAAACCCAAATGGGAAAAACCACGGGGCACTTACCCAGTAGTAAAAATGCCATCTATTCGAGCTATTTTGGCTTTGGCAGCTAGCTTGAATTTAGAAATTGAACAGTTGGATGTTAAGACAGCTTTTCTCCATGGTGATCTTGAGGAGGAGATTTATATGAAGCAACCAGAGGGCTTTGAGGTGCAAGGCAAGAAGAATCTGGTCTGTAAATTGAAGAAAAGTTTGTATGGTCTCAAACAAGCTCCGAGGCAATGGTACCGTAAGTTTGACTCTTTTATGGGGGAGCATAAATTCACTAGAACAGAATCTGATCATTGTGTTTATGTTAAGAGGTATCCAGATGGTGATTTCTTGATACTTTTGCTTTATGTGGATGACATGTTGATTGTTGGTCATGACACAAAGAAAATTGCAGCCTTGAAGACTGACTTGAGCAAGTCCTTTTCTATGAAGGATTTGGGTCCAGCAAAGCAAATTCTTGGAATGAAAATTTTCCAAGATAGAAAGAACAAGAAGCTGTGGTTGTCACAAGAAAAATATATTGAAAAGGTGCTTGACAGGTTCAACATGAGCAAAGCAAAACCTGTGGGCACTCCACTTGCTGGCCATTTTAAACTTAGCACAGAGCAGTGTCCTGCAAGCAAGGAGGAAGCGAAATACATGAAGAATGTGCCATATGCTTCTGCAGTTGGTAGTCTAATGTATGCTATGGTATGCACAAGGCCAGATATAGCTCACGCAGTGGGGGTAGTGAGCAGATTTTTATCCAATCCTGGCAAGCAACATTGGGCAGCAATTAAGTGGATTTTCAGGTATCTTAGAGGTACATCTCACATGTGCTTATGTTATGGTGAGCATGAATCTTTACTTAATGGCTATAGTGATGCTGATTTTGGTGGAGATTTGGACTCTAGAAAGTCCACTTCAGGATACTTGATGCTTTATGCAGGGGGAGCAATTTCATGGAAGTCAAAACTGTAGAAAAGTGTTTCATTATCCACTACAGAAGCTGAGTATATAGCTCTTTCTGAAGCAGGAAAGGAGATTGTATGGATGAAGACGTTTTTTGAAGAATTGGATCTTAAGCAAGAGAGATTTGTGCTGTTTTGTGATAATCAAAGTGCAATTTACTTGAGCAAGAACCCACAGTTCCATTCAAGAACCAAGCATGTTGATTTGAGGTATCATTGGATACGTGATGCAATTGAAGAAAAGGTGCTTGATGTTGAGAAAGTTCACACAAATGACAACAGCTCTGATATGATGACCAAGTCCTTGGTGAGAAGCAAATTTGAGTTTTGCAGATCACAAGCTGGCTTGGTGGAGCCCCCCAACTAGCTCGGGCGGGGGAGATTGTTGAGCTAGCCCTCCCAAGTTGGGTGGCTTAGCAATGGAGGTGCACCTTGAGTGCATGGCGCATGGCAGAAACTTGGAAGGTTTGGTTTTGAAGATGAACAGTGGTTTCCGACACTGACTTTTCTTATTGTTGAAGAAATGGGAAAAGCAAAGTGGACTCCTCCAACTTTGGATATGCTGACATGTTAGTCCTTGATAGGATAGTGTTACACTATTCTTGTATCCAAAAGCTCCTTATTTAATCTCTTGTTTAAATTTGAAAAGAGTGCAGATTGGTGTGAGCGTGAAAAACAGAGAGGTAAAGCAGTGCAGAAAAAATAGAGTGAGGTTGAGAGAAAATCTCCCTTGTTGGTGTTAGAACTTTGAGAGATTCGGATTATTATCCGAAAATTGTAATCCATTTTCAGTAGTGGATTGATTTTTCATCTGGGTAAGTGCCCCGTGGTTTTTCTCATTTGGGTTTTCCACGTAAAAATTCTGGTGTCCTCTTTATTTTACTTTGTTTGCTTATTCTGTTCTTGGGTGTTTGATTGTGTTGCTGATTGGTTTGATTCTGGGCATTGGACCATTAAAACCTCAACACATTCCATGTTGTCAATTTGAATATAATTAACGAAACATGTTTTCTAACTTCAGCATTTAACAGAAACTGCTCAAAATATATATTCATATTGGCTAATGTGCCATCTGCTTGACTGGGTTTATCACGGGGAATTCCACTGCCGCTTTAGTTGTTAATGCTTGGGTTGAAAGTGGAAATAGATAACAAACTCAGGAATGTAATAACCATGATAATTAGAAAAGAAACTCAGAAATTTCTTCCCAGAATTCTTGTCATCCCCCTCACCTGGACGGAACAATGCCACAATGTAGATAGGCATCTTAATATATTTAGGAACACATGAGAAAAAAAAAATAGAATAAACAGAAAGCAACAAAGACTGCTGACCTGAAAAATATGACACAAGGCAACGTTTTGACTCAAGTTTGGCAACAAAGAAAGGTGCATTCTCCATATTGCATACAAAGATGACATGAGTCTCTCATATAACATGCAAGATTTATGCATTCACCAGATAAAACCAGAATCTAAAGCTTATAATAGAATCACTAGTCACAACAACCAGAGTAAAATGTGAGAAATCTATACTGAATTCTAGAAACAACGAACTCATTAATGCTCACCTCAGCATCCAGCTTGATGAACTTCGTCTCCATATGCTTTGGTGCAAGGGCTTTCAAATGCTTATCCGTTATTCTAGATTACCCATCAATAATACCATGTAAGTCTTGCAACATATGGACTAAGATGCAGTGATGCACATAAATGCACATGGTATGTAGAGGGGTGTGTATGCATGTGAAAGAGAGAGAAGCTTTACTTGCATCTGTAGAACTCCTTATGGTAAAAGTGACAAACAACCTTCTCACTTCCAGTGACCTCACCCAAGAAATCTCCTTCACTTACCTCCCTGTACTCTCCGTGTCCTTCCTTTTTAAGGCTTCTCGCTTCTCTGCTTCTTTCTATTCAAATAAATCCTAATGTGATTACAAATTTCAGAAAGCCTATCCAGATCTAAGCAGTATATCAAATAATGGCACATGAGATATTGAATTTTTAACCTTTAGAGCTGCAATCCTGTCAGCATGCAATTTTTCCAACTCAGGATCCTGTTGGTAGAGAAAACATGAATCCACACAAAAAGATATCATGGCAGAGTAATGGTAAAAGGAGTATCAATGCTTTTGGAACAATTAATTCAGGAAGCAACTTAAAACCTTTTAACACACTTACATCCATAAGCTCATCAAGGTCAACCTCATCATTGTTTGAACTTGATGCCTGTGTCTTCTCTTGGGCAAGAAGTTCCTGTAAGATCATTATCAGAATACATTAGCTGCAAGCTACTAGTAATAACAACCCGGTGCCTAGTTGATAACCAACTCAAACAATTACACACTACAATCTTAAACATTATTACTCGATCCAGCCCATAACATTTTCAAAATTCTTACCCAATCATTATCTACAGTATCTAAATAACACCACAAAGTCACAAACCCATTTCTTCAACCCAAAACAGAAATGCAAAACTGTAAAACAACTCTGACCAATAAAAGGAAAAAGGTTAAATGCTAAATTTAGTCCCTCAACTTTACGAAATGCACATTTTTTATCCCTCAACAATTTTTTTCATTTTTTTGATCCCTTGACTCTAAAAATTGCACAATTTTGGTCCCTCTATCAGTTAAGTTTGATGTGATAGTTAAATAATTTCATGTGGCATTGTCTTTTAATTTTTTTGATGATGTGGCAATAATATATATTATAATTATGTTATATAAATAAATAAAAATACCACATAGATTAATAGGTATATTTTAATTAAAAACAAATAAAACTACCTTATTACCTTCACCCTCCCAATCCATCTTCTTCCCCTTCTTTCTTTCTCCTTCTTTCTTTCTTTCCTACCCTGGGATAGGCTGGGTTCCGTCGAACCTAGCTGCTGGGTTCGTCGACCAGCCAAGGCTAGGTTCCTTGCTAGGTTCGTCAAAACCCAACAAGGCTGGATTCCGACGAACCCAGCCTTGGCTGGTTCGCGCGACCAGCCTGGTTTTGTTAAAGGCTGGGTTCGTCGAAACCCAGATCAGCTAGGTTCCGATGAACCCAGCCTTGCTGGTCGTGCGAACCAACCTTGCTGGTTTTGTCGAAACCCAGCCTATCTGGGTTCGTTGAAACCCAGATCAGCTGGGTTCCGATGAACCCAGCTTTGCTGTTTCGACGCGGGATTCATGTTTTTTCATTCTTCTTTCAATTTCCATTCCTAGTTGTTAATAAATTTGGGAGTTGATTTACAATTTGATTGCATTTTTGTTGGAATTTGATTAAAGTTTGATTGTATTTTTGTTGGAATTCGATTAGAGTTTGATTAGTATTGTTTATTGAAGGGTTAATTTTATTTGATAAGATCTGCTAGGTTTGAGGGTTCAATGAAACCCGGTAGCTCAAGTTCCCCCGAGAAAAGAGAAAAAGAAGAAATGAGTTAAGATCGGTTTTGTAAATGGAGTGGAGATGAGAGAGCATTCAGAAAAGAAAAAGAAATGGGTTAAGATCAATTTTGCAGATGGAGTGCAAATGAGAGAGCATTCAGAGAATAAGAAGATATGAGTTAGATTGATTTTGCAAAGAATGAAGATGAAAGACCGATTTGCAGGCAACGTGAGATCCGCGGGAAGATGACATGTCATTAAAAAAAGTCCAGATCAGCACCTTTTTAAGTTGTTCTCGCTATGTCATCAAAAATAAAAATAAAAAATGCCATGTAGCTGGGTTAATGGCCCAAATTGATAGAAAGACTAACGAGTGCATTTTGTATAGTTGAGGGATCAAAAAAGTGCAAAAAATTGTTGAGGGACCAAAAATATGCAACTTACTAAAGTTGAGGGACCAAATTTAGCATTTAACTAAGGAAAAAAAAACTGTGAAACAACTAAACATAAAAGAACTCATGAACATCATTCAGTTCCATCCATTTATTTCAGTAGCTGTCAGCAAAAATAAACTAGAACATATCTTTTGCAGTATTCCTGCCCAAGATTGTATGTGATAGACATAGTTTGTCATAAACCCAGTTACAGTTTTGGACAGAGAAAGCACAGCCTTGTCTAAATAATTAAGTAAAGAGGAGAAAAAGTGAAAAAAGATGAGACCTTTTTGTAACCACGAGCAGCTGCTGTCATTACATTCCCAAATGCTAAATTCGACAAAGTGGATTGAACTGAATTGGGATCCATTTTCTTGCTGAGGAAGATCAAAACACACCAAAAACTTTTAGAATAAAAGATGCAAATGGTAGTATTAGTAAGCAGATCTGGTTTGAAATCTTACCTTGGCTGGGGAGTGGGAAAATCAGGGAGAGTTTGGAATTTGGAAGAAAGAAAAGCGGGGTCGCTAAAATTCATTTTCACAGGAGCCAAGTACGCTTAAATGAAAACGCTGCATTTTCACATGATAGGTGGACTTTATTTTACGCAAATATTGTTTAGGCTTCGTTTATTAACTTTAACGTATCTATTTCAAATGCCACACCTCATTCAATCTATTATTAATAATTAATTTTAATTAATTGTTTATATA